AGTTGATATCTGATTAGGTCAAGGATGGCAGTGACTCTCCGTCTGCTCGAAAGTGGGATGGTCAAATCCAGCTGGATGAGGACGATTCCACAGATGATGATGGTTGGTTTGTATGCTTTTTGCAGTGATATGTGTACGCTAGGATATTCCCTGAAAAGTGCTTATTTTTTAGAAGCCAAAATAGATGCTGTACTAGCTGACGCGCGTGGCGTATCATCATCAATGGATGAAGATGGGGAAGTACCTCCGACGCACCAACTAAGTCGAGGCAATAGTTGGTCAGGATACGCTCCGTCTCCTTCCCATCAATCAAATACTGCAACCCCCAGCTATGTGCCTACACCTGTTGCAAAAGTAAGCAAATTTAGGATTCTTTACATTCTGCTTTACCTGGGCCATATCCCATCGAGACCGTTACTGGGTTCACTCAAGTCAACTTATTGTCGGAGATGCTCATTGATTCCCTTGCTATAGGGCACAAATCTTATCATATTCTTGGAGAAACCTGTGTTTATATAAGAATTAAAACGTCGGTATCTAACTTGCAATCTGAATTTTCTTCATGCACATCCTTTTCTTCTCGATCTGTCTTAGGATCTCTCTTATCCCCGTCTCAATGAATCGCTTAATTTTCCCCAACTGCCTACTTTGTATTGAAGCTCTATTTCTAGGAGGAACAGGCTTTTACTTCGGTTACGAAAATTCCGGAAAGGTGTCGCTTTTGGCCTGCTTGTCGACAAGGGGAAAACTGTGCTTACACGCATCCAACCAAACAGTGCATGTTGGTAGCATATTCTTTAATCATTGCGCTATGTACTTGAAAATTGTACTTTCCAGTAATTTCCCACATTGCTCATTTGGCGCTCGGTGCCTCTATATCCATCCTCCATGTCGATTTGATCGGAACTGCGCGAATCCAAACTGCCCGTACACTCATGGAAGGATCGCCGCAGCATTAGCTCCCGTAACTACTGCCACTTCAGTGACTGTAGCGTCTCAGGTACATTCTGGCTTGAAACTTTCCTTTCTTTGTCGGAAAGTTCAACCTGATGAAGTTTTTTTCATTGTAAGGTGAGCAAGCCTGCTCCTCAGCCAGTGGTCACCTCATCGACGAACACAGTCGCTGCTCCGGACTCGACGAAAATTTCACCAGAGTACGCTTTTTTGCTTCATATTCGTTGGCATTATCTGAATTTTAGTATTTTTAGTGTCCCTCTGTCTGCTGAGCCCAATACTGTTCCCAGCTTAGCATCACTCACTCCTTGCCTATACGGTAATAAATGCAAACGGCCAAATTGCGCTTTCAAGCACCCGAAGGTAGGTGGTAAAGTTAGTCTTTCCAATAAATGTCTGGTAAGTCCTTTTATTTTAGGTTTGTCATTATGGCTCGTCCTGTAT